GTAATATATTCTTTTACAGGTAATATATTCTTTTACAGATTAATCTTTTATGAGTATTATATTACCTTTTACTGCCTGAAGATTATGTATAGCAATATTACCATCTACATGTCCACATGAAACTTTTAGCCATTAACAGCAGTAATATCTAAGTACAATTTTTCTTATATATATATATATATATATATATATACTGATATCCATGAACAGCAGTAATATTTAAGTACATTTTTCTTATATTATATATATATATATATATATATATATATATATATATATATTAATTGATAAGTATTGTGACAAAAGAGATAAATTTATTGGTGAACTGAATGAAAATAAAATAAATATTTACTGAAAATGAGAAACAATTTATGTTAACCACCTGTTGTTATTTATTCAGATTATTGTCTTGTATTTTGCACTTTATTAAAATGTGTCTGAATGTTAAGCAGTAGATTTTCAAAATACGAAGTTTATTCTGTTTCCCTAACTTGACAGAAATCTGCAAGACAGAAAGTTCATTTGGTATTCAAAGCTAACATGTCTGCTACTAGAGACACACCACACTACGCTTAAATCCCACCTTTGGGGGAGGAGTCATGTCTGCTAGAATCTAATGACAGTTCAGACGACTTGCAGACTTTTCTTCAAAGTGGCGCTACTCATTAAAACAGATAAAACGAATTCTTCCAAATTACAGTGCGGTTTCAATAGCTTACACAAAATAACTTACATATTTCTCTATGTTAAGCACGAAATGACTATAAAGTTAAATAAATATGAACCGACTTTAAATAAATATATAAATGAAATATTTGGGGATCTGCGAAATTCTTTTTCCGAATTAAATGATCATCTATTAAAATCAAATTGAAAGTTTTTCTCTTTTTAAAGGCTATGTCCTCTCAGGGAATAGCGGATCAGTTTTCTTCTTTTTTTTTTGTCATTTTTACTGTTAGCTCACCTAATACAAGGCCCAAGAGCCACTCAAGTTAGAGGGTTACTAAGGAAGGGGAAAGTAAGAGAGTATTATGAGGATGAACAGGATAGATACCGGCTGACCCTGGTTGTCACCCAAGGCCAAAGAATGCGGCCCACCCTGCTATTTAACAGATAGCTTGGAGGTGAAGAGATGGATCCACGCCTTTCCCAAGGGTGTTTGTGTGAAAGTGAATGCAACAGAGCATTCCGAAAATTTGCTAAAAGTTAAAAGTGGACATTTTTAAGTACAAGTTCCATATAATAGAAAATAAACTGATTTCTGATTATTTAATTTTCAAAGACAAAAGATGCAAATTGTGTTATTTTACAAAAATTATCATGTCTATCCACAGACAAACATGGCTATCCTTTGGAAATTGCAATGTATTCTTGTAAAAAACAGTCAATTAGTTTTCTGTTGCCTTCTCTATGGTTTAGAATTCTGAGTTTTTCCTCTCTTAGACTAATTGCTACCCAATGTTGGAGAGCCAGGTCTATCCTTTTTCCTTCAGTTACTAATTCTACTAGTGGCATTTCTTGCATTTAAATGCAATATCAATCATTATGAACTGTCTTAATTCTTGCCGTTTTAATGTTCTCTCTCTTTAATAGTGTTTTTTTCTCATATTCTCTAGCCCACACTAACCCCTCATATCATAGTGGCTTTATTTCCTTTCTTGGGTTGAAATGATTAAAAAAGGTAAAAAGAAAGACATTGTAGTTAAAAAGAATAAGTTACATGAACATCCTGCAAAATTGGAACAGAATTAAAATTGAGCATTTTTAAAGTTCATATAATAGAAAAAAAAATATATTTCTGATTATATTTTTTCAAAAACAAAAGATGCAAATTGAGTTATTTTAATAAAATGATCATAGGTCTACAGAGCATTCTTTCGAAATTGCCACGCATTCTTGTGAAAAACAGTGGATTGGTTTTCTCTTTCCTTCTCCACAGTTTAGAATTCAGAGTTTTTCCTTTCTTAGTCTGGTTTCCACCCAAGGCTAGAAAACCTTATCTACCCTGCTATTTCACTCCTAGCTAGGGGGAGAAGAGACAGATATGTACATTTTCTCAACAGCAATTAGGCAAAAGTGAGTGGAATACACTGATCTGAAATTTTAACTCAGCCCACTAATTTCACTTTCGGCATATCCAATCGCAACATATTGTAGTTCAAAAAAATAAGTTAAATGAAAATCTAACAAAGTCGGAAAAGAATTAAAATTGGACATTTTTAAATGAGAGGTCCATATAAGAAAAAAAATTATGATTATTTCTTTATAAGACATACTTTGGGTTATTTAAAATTTTTTTGTTATTTTTTGTTTTTAAGATTGTGTGTGAGGAATTAAAATCACCTTGTGCCATTACTTTTGGGACAAAATTCTACCTGCTTTCTAAATGAATGGCACATAATGAGCCAATGATGAAGATGCAAAGTTTAATTATCAAAGAATCAGCAAAAAACGAATTTACATGTGCCAAAGGCCATCACGACTCTTTCGAATTTGGAAATTACAGTTAACTCTCTAAATGAATACATGTGCAGCGGTATCTTTGTGTACAAATTGTGGGGGATAAATCTTAACATAGGTTTAATCATGTGTCTACACACACACACACACACACACACACACACACACACACACACACACACACACACACACACACATATATATATATATATATATATATATATATATATATATATAAGATTTCAGAGAAAAAACAGTTTTCAGAAATATATTTTTTCTTCTCTTGACACTCTTCCTGTGCCAATTCCTTGCAGTTGGTTCAGATCTATCTATCTAGCTCTATCAGTCTTTGTCTAATAGGATCTGTTGCTATTTATCTATCTATCTATCTATCTATCTATCTATCTATCTATCTATCTATCTATCTTAGAACTAGCATCTAATCTTTTATATAAAACCTCATATGATGCAATGTTACATTTTTATTGAACATGCCACCTGATTTTGTTTTATTATTAATGAGATATTCCATTTATTTGGTAACAGGGGGCACCACTATTCAATACCAATAAGTGGACGTGCCTTGTGTTAGCATAATAACGGAATATCTCATTCATAATTAGGGGAGAAGAAGTTACTAAACACATTGTTTTTAATCTGTTTTATATAAACTCCCTTTAGTTATTTTTACTTTTAATAATTAATAAAGTAGAATTATTTTGTAAAATACAAGAATAAACTCAATTGTACATGTAAAATCCTAGATTCTTTGCTTAAAAATGAATCTAATTCAACTGCAGTGTTATTGTCTTTTGATGGAACACTTTAACTAGGGATTAAATAACTTTGATGACTTATAAAGCAGAAATCTTTCTTACAAATGATGACATATTTAATTGTAAAGATAAAAATCCCAGACTATTCCTACAGAAAATATAACCAATGCAATTGCAAAAGTATTTGAATATTACATGTATTTTTTTATGTTAGTTTTCTTTGGCTTGTTTTACATTTAAAGATTTCAAAAAAGTATTCTTTCAAACATGTAACAATAAAGTGGATTGTATAGATTAAAGTATGAAATATTATCTGCATAAAATAACACCAATGCAATTGCAAAATTATTTGAATATAAATCTTATTTTTTGAAGGTACAAGTAAAGTAGTGTTTAAATAATTTTAATGGTTTAAAAATCAGAAATGTTTTCTTACTGGTGCCAACAGGTTTTATTGTATAGATAAAAATCTGATATTACTCAATGTAGGAAATGTAGCTAATGACATCGCAAAATCATTTAAATATAGCTGTCATTTTCTGATAGTAGAGAAAAGCTAATGTTTAAATAATTCCTTCTCGTTATTTAAAGATAAGAATTCTCTCTTACATACGACAATAGATTTAATTGTATGGATGAAAATTCTTGATTGTTTCTTTTAGAAAATATAAAGCAATGCAACTGTCCATATCTATATATCTATCTATCTATCTATCTATCTATCTATCTATCTATCTATCTCAGTCTCTTCCTATCTATCTATCTATCTATCTATCTATCTCAGTCTCTTCCTATCTATCTATCTATCTATCTATCTATGTCTAACTGTATCTGTTCATATCTATCTATTTGTCTGAGAGGATCTATCTATCTATCTATCTATCTATCTATCTATCTATCTATCTATCTATCTATGTCTAACTGTATCTGTTCATATCTATCTATTTGTCTGAGAGGATCTATCTATCTATCTATCTATCTATCTATCTATCTATCTATCTATCTATCTATCTATCTATGTCTTACTGTATCTGTTCATATCTATCTATATCTTTGTCTGAGAGGATTTATTTATCTATCTATCTATCTATCTATCTATCTATCTATCTATGTTCATATCTATCTATATCTTTTTCTAACAGGATATGTCCAAATCTATCTATCTATCTCAGTTTTTAAATAATATTTTCTTGAAAAACGTATTTCACCAATGCAATGGCATTTTTTGATAGTATAAGTAGACTAGTAATAAAAAAATTTGAATGATTTAAAAAACAGAATTCTTTCTAACATCTGCCGGTAGTGTTAACTGCTGAGATAAAATCCAAGATTGCTAACGTAGAAAACATTACAGATATAATTGCAAAATGAATAAATTATTGCCATCAATTCTTTCAACAGAAAAAGAAATATGTAAATACATAAATTAAAAATTCTATTATGCACATACCTCTTGGTGCATGCATGTGTATGTGTATGTCTGTTTTTCTTATACCATTGTTCATGCAATACAAGCCCCAAGAGGCTCACAAGGTTGAAGGTTACTGAATGATGATGTTGTACAAATGTAAGATGAGGGGTTAAGAAGTGTAGAATATGAGGTTATGTAAGATAGATAATGATTGTCCCTAGACTTGAAGAGGTTAAGATTGTAGGGATCGGGAAGCATCCTCTTGGGAGTCTGTTCCACAAGGAAGGAGCTGTTTGAATGGAACTTCCTCCTTACCAATGGAATACGAGAAAATGTTAAAGATATAATGATGCTCAGCAATAGATAGATAAATAGATAGATAGATAATGAACAAACTGAGATAGATAGATAGATAGATAGATAGATAGATAGATAGATAGATAGATAATGAACAGACTGAGATAGATAGATAGATAGATAGATAGATAGATAGATAATGAACAGATTAAGATATATATATATATATAGATAATGAACCGATTAAAATAAATATATATCTAGATAGATAGATAATGAACAGAGATAGATAGAAAGATAGATAGAAAAATAGCTAATGAAGAGACTCAGATAGATAAATAATGAACAGACTAAGATAGATAGATAGATAGATAGATAGATAGATATGATATAAACATAACTATAAAAAGGGAGTAAGTGAATGACAAAAACATTTTAGTTGTTGTTTCAAGAAAGGAACTTCTTCAGACTAATAACAGTTTCATTGATGAAATCAACCTTATATTTGAAAAGGGATAAATTTCAAGGGAAAAATATAACAAACACTGATTTCCTTTTTTATATACTATTGTTCGCCCAATACAAGGACCAGAGAGCCACCGAAGGCAGAGCTTCACTGAATGTGGTGGTTGTAAGGGCCTAAGGAGAGGAAGTAAGAAGTGCATATTATGAGCATGTGTAGAATAGATAAAGGTTGACCACAGACTTGAAGCAGTCGAGAGTGTAGAGCAAGGTATCCACTCAGGAGTCTGTTCCACAAAGTAACAATTCTGGTGAAGAAAGTATCCGAGTGGAACTTGCTCCTTAACAATGGAATACATAGCAAATGAGAATGAATATCTGCTCTAAAAATGGCAATAGAGTAGCAAAAAGCAAGAAAGGTTTCTTCTGTGGTAAAATTGGAAAGTAGTTGCTAGGCAGAAAATGATTCATCATATATGTACGTGTGTTTATGTGTAAATCAATAAAAAAGAATATAGATGTATATATATATATATTCTATGTTTATATATATATATATATATATATATATATATATATATATATAAATAGTTTTAAGGAGCTCAGCCAATCATGCAATGTTTTATATATATATATATATATATATACATATATATATATATATATAAATAAAAAGAAAGAACAGTAAGATATATAATCCGGTGTTCTTATAGATATTTTTATTTTTGCAAAATAGTGCTCAATGTAAATTTACAGGTTAGAACTGTGTAGCTGAAAAAACATATTTTAAATCAATTAATTTATAATATATATATATATATATATATATATATATATATATATATATATATATATATATATATATTATATTGCACTACAGTGTATTGAGCACTTTTTAAAAATTTTACTATATCTGTTCTTTTTCTCGTTGGGATATATATATATATATATATATATATATATATATATATATATATATATATTGGAAATAAAAATGGCAAGACATACCTTACCATTCATGATTACAAGGAAAATAGGCTGGTCTAATTTGTTTTTTCCTATTCTCCTTTTAATCATGAATGGTAAATCATGTCTTGCCATTTTTATTTCCATAATAATATTTTGTACCCACAAGAAAATGGTATATATATATATATATATATATATATATATATATATATATATATATATTGAAAGAACTTCTTTTTGGGAAGACAATAATACTTTATTGATTCAAGTCATACAAATTAACCAATAACTGTGTGTAAAATTGGTGGATTCACACCTTTCCCAAGAGTATTTGCACATAGGTGTATATAACAAACCTGACTGGAATTAGAACTTGTCTCTGATTTTCAATTATAAGCTGTTATTGATTACACCACCTGCACATTAAAGCTTGCAGTACTTGGTATTCCCAAGTGATCACTCATCTAGGTACTGAGCATGCTTGATGTTGCTTAACTTCAGTGATTGTATGAGAACAGGTGTTTCAATGTGATATGGCCTTAAGCCAAGATCAAGAGATAATAATGATAAATGGTGCTTAAATGAGAGAAAAGCAAAAACTGTCTGCCCTCTTGTCTAAAGATATGTTATGGTGAAAGAGCAGATAATTTTTGACTTACCCTCATATATATATATACCAAAATATTAGTGCTTTTTAGAGAAAATAGATTATTTATATTTATGACAGCCGCATACCCATGTATTTTTAAAAAAATGTTTTTTGTGTGTGTGTATATATCTCTATCTATAAAAAGCAGGATATGTGTGCATGTGTGTGTGTGTAATGAATGCACGGTCACAATTTTCGATGGATTTGCACCAAAATTTACATGCACCTGCTCCAAGTTAGCGGGAAGGCGAAGAATGACTTTGCATTTCCCAACTCCCATCGATAGTGGAAATAATCGATTTTTTCATGTTTCTACAGCAGTTTTCATGTAGTTTGCAGTCATTTCCTACTGGCCGGAGTGAGAGCCTATAGCTGGCTGCCACGAATAGGCAGGAAGATTCTATTGGCCAGCTTGGGAGCCAACAGCTGACTGACATGAATGTTAACTAGCATGCTAGCATGCAAAAAAATCGATAGCTGCATTTATCACAAGTGGGAAAAATTTAAATCTGCATGGCACTTTACTCCAATTGGCTCATTCGCTTGCTTAAACTCAACGTTGATTCTGATTCCGCAGAACCGGGTTGAGTGTGAAAAAGTATTTGTTGTTAACATTCTTTTTTCATTCGGTTTTTCCAGTTATGAGTCCTTTTTTTAAAGCTGATTGTTTTGTGTTCATTTTGTTTAGTTCTTTTTTTGTTACAGATTTAATGTTTAGTATAGAGCTTAGAAAAATTTGCAGTGTGAGATAGGCAAGAAGTAAGGCATGTAGCAACATCAGCACGGCAAAGCGCACTCCTTTAAAGGCAAGGAAGGGCAAAAATATTTTAAGTCAAGTTATAGCAATTGCTGTATGAGTTGTACAATTTTTGAATCAAGCACAGGCAACACCGGGCCATGCTGCTATATATATATATATATATATATATATATATATATATATATATATAATTGTAATTTTAGGCAGCTATCCTTCATGTATACAGACGGCAGACAAGTTACTATGATTAAGCATCTAATTTAGTTTTTCTTACGTTTTGATCAAGTGTTTTCTTTTTTGGACACAGTGTGTACAGAAACTGTCCAAATGTTCTATACTTCCAAGTGATTTCAGTTATACTTTATCATGGATGATTTTATTTTTGCTTTTCAATTGGGTGTGTGGGTTGTGTGTATGTTTCTACAGTTGTTGAGATGTTTTATTTTCTGAACACAGCCCATTGTGGTCATGTTAGTAACTAATATTATTAAGTGTTGGCTTTTTCATTTTTATTATTGAAGCTTTCATTATTTTTAATCTTTTTTTTTACATGTAGATGAGGTTATTATGTTTGTATTTTCTACTAGTATGTTTCCGACGGAGTCTGGTAAGTTTGTGTGTGTGCGTTTAAATGGATTCTAATAGAGCTGTGTTCAGATAGGTGTAACGTAAGACATCTGGATAGGCATGTAGTCATGCGACCGAAGTAATTATTTATGAATTCAGTTTGATCAAGAACACTGAACGTTAAGGGGCATTTGAACTCATAGATAATGTTCATTCGCTGTAATTTTTGATTTTGCTGGTGTGTTGTTATTTTTTAGGATAATACACATATCTATCTATCTATCTATCTATATATCTATGCATATCTATCTATCTATCTATCTATATATATATATATATATATATATATATATATATATACATATATATATATATATATATATATATATATATATATATATATATATATATTAAGTAAATCACTCCAAGCAAGATGGGAGTGCCACTAGCATGCAAGGGGTCACAGAGAGTAAAGAGGAAAAAGAATAAAGGACAGGGATCAAGGTCAAGGCATCAGAAGATATTGATTGACATTACGTTTGAATATTTGAAGATTATGGCTCTCAGAGAAGCAAGTGATAGGAAAAGAAATCCACTGATGGGAGGTGTGAGATAAGAAGCTGCTGGAGTAGAAGTGATGGCTACATTTGGCCGTTTCAAGAGTGAAAGGGTGGGACTGAGATACCCACCTAGTTGCACGCTTAAATTCATGCAGTTTGGGAACCAGTGAAAGTGGTTCATCAGAGCAGTTGCCATGAAAGTACTTGTAGAAAAGACAGAGGGAAGCCACAGCACATCTTTGAGATAGCGACCACAGATGGGATGCCAGATCAAGACCAACCCTGTTGCATATCCATATCTGGATTTTGTCTAGGACCTCGAAATAACAGCAGGAGCATTAGACCATATATGGCATCAGTATTCTATGCAAGGACGAATGACTGATTTGTAGATTTGAAGGATGAACTCATTCTGGTCCGACACAGCAAACCAACTTTCCTTGCAGTAGATGAAGCTATAGATTCAATGTAGTTGTTCCACCTCAGGTCAGTGGACAGTGTGAGACCAAGCAGGTGCAGAGAGACGCTCTCGTGGAGTTGGGCTTTAGCCAACCTGACGGGATAGTGAGAGGGTTCTCTAAGGTGGGAGCAGTTTGGTTTTTCAGGCATTAAAGTTTACAAGCCATTTCCTGCTCCAGTCAACCACAGATTGGAGATCCTTCTCAAGGCCTATTGCCAGGTTATTTTTGTCAATGATGCCGGATCTACTATTAAGGCAGGAGTGAATAGTAGTGTCGTCCGTGTAGGCGTCAACTTTAATAAAAACAAAAAACCAACACTCAGTAATATCAACTATGAACATGGACACAATATCTTGACCGTGTTTTGAAAATGAAGCATTATATAAATGCATACCTATATCAAACAGTTAGCAGTTAATATATTTCAACCTTGAAAATTGCTAATTATATAGCTGAAAACGCTTGGAAAGAAGGAACAATTGGACATTTTTTATATAATTTATCCTCTTAAAAAAATTATAAGACATATATTATAATTATTTATATTTATATAAAAATATATATATATATATATATATATATATATATATATATATATTTATATATTATAATTATAAAATTATAATTAATGAAAAATAGTATAAAAATTACCTTGCCTGTCATATTCAATAACCATGCATGTATATATATATATATAAATATATATATAAAAATGTTTCATTAAATAATATACATGTTTTGTCTATTTAATGTAAATTCTTTTCAAATTGTCTGATAAGCTTAATGCATTATCATTTCACAATATTGATACATATTTTTAATCCTATCTGCATGCCTACAAATATTTGCAATGATATTATTTATATAGTTTACAAATATGCCCTTTGGGCGATTGTATTCAATGGATTAAATTTCATTAAATGACACTATATAGACATTTTTAGGCATTTTTGTCAATATTTGTTGAAAACACAATTTTAATAACCAAAAACTAAAAATTATTGAAGCTTTTCATAAAAATAACCTGAACAAAATGAAACGAAATCTCCACAAATATTCTGCCTATAATAACAGAAGCCATTAATACCAACAGCTTCCCCATACTTAATACTTCTCATTTTTAAAAAGCGTCAAGCGCAATTTTTTCAGCATTTAATCAAAGTTTTTGTCACTGTTTTAAATCTTCCAATAAAACAAATCATTATTGTTTTGTCCGTGAATTGTTTAATATATAATGTAATTGTCATCTCTGATAATGGCTTATGTGATTTTCTTTCTTCGTTTAATGATAATGTTATTAATATCAGACGATATGAAAAGAATTTATAAAATAAATAGACAAAACTTTTCTGTTTTTTATATATTTATCAATGAAAAAATATAAATATACAATATATATATATATATATATATATATATATATATATATATATATATATATATAAAGAGGTATGGTAGAGCTGAGTTCAAATTCACTCAAATCCATTATATTCACTTACATGCTAATACCCTTGGGAAAGGTATGAAATCCTCTTCTTTTCCCCCAGCTATAAACAACAGGCCAGACTGGGTTCTATAGCCTTGGATGGCAACTCGTCTAGAAGAAGGACAACTCTGAATTTAAAACCTGTGGAGGGTTGTTTGGGGACCTTGTGGCACGTAGTGCACCAGGTCTCTGTATTCAGCCCTTCAAAAAGTCTGGTTGGTTCTGCACAAAACCATCACCACTATAATCAAATCATATGTGCAGGTGTCTGCCTGTCAGTTCCTAGGAACTGAGTTGCTTGACCCTCATATATTGAATACAACAGTAGTGTCCAGCATATATATATATATATTATATATATATATATATATATATATATATATATATATATATATATATATATATAATATATAGAATTTTAATAATATAAATCCATTATTGGTCAAAAGACTGCAAAAATTTATAAGACAAGGATATAGATGATATTTATTGAGATAAAAATGATTTCAATTAAATAAATGTCAAAAGACAGATTATAAAAATATATATTAATTCTAGAAAAGAAAATGATTGCCAACACACAAACAGAATGTCTCATTCGAGAATAAATTGAACATGAAGAAAAATGATATTTTTTTATTTCACTTTTGAAAGTTCGAGACCAGACCAGATAAAAAATGATTAAAAATTAAATAAATAAATCAACCAAAAATGCACCCTCTTTTTTAATATACATACTTTTTTGTTTGTCATTATATATATTTCTTTTTATATATATATATATATATAATTTCTATATATATTATATATGCATGGTATTTATTGGGAAGTGTTCCATATCAGTGATAGAGCTAACATATTCAGTCGTAAGGTTATGAGTTTGTAACCCTGGGTTTCACACTTTTGCAATCATCAGACAAACTGATATATTTTTTTAAATTTGTATCTATTTATATCAGTGTTCGTATGAAAATCACAAAAGTGCAAAACCCAGCGTTACAAACTCATATCCATATGACTGATATTTTCCAAGCTTTCAAAATAAATATTTGTTTT